CCAGTGTCTGACCACCCTCACAGTGAAGAACTTCTTCCTAATATCTAATCTAAACCTTCCCTCTTTCAGCTTAAACCCATTTCCCCTTGTTCTGTCATTAACTGCCCTTAGGAAAAGTCCCTCCCCAGCTTTCTTGTAGCCCCTTCAGGTGCTGGGAGGCCACTATAAGATCTCCCCGGAGCCTTCTCTTCTCCAGGCTGAACAGCCCCAACTCTCTCAGCCTGTCCTCACAGCAGAGCTGCTCCAGCCCTCGCATCCTCCTGGTGGCCTCCTCTGGACTTGTTCCAGCTGCTCCAGGTCTCTCTTGTGATGGGGGCTCCAGAACTGGAGGCAGCACTGCAGGTGGGGTCTGAGGAGAGCGGAGCAGAGGGGCAGAATCCCCTCCCTCCACCTGCTGCCCACGCTGCTCTGGGTGCAGCCCAGGACACGGTTATTGGCCTCTGGGCTGCCAGCGCACATTGTCTGCTCGTGTTCAGCTTCTCGCTCACCACCACTCCCAAGTCCTTCTCTTATGTAAATAATCAGTGTAAACCAACCATAAATCCTCCTTCCAGCACCAGCTTTCAGAACAAACCCGTATTTCGGGGAATAAGCAGCTCTGCTACACCACGTTCTACACACCTGAGAGGTGACAGCAGCTGCTGAGTCACTGCGGGTGACCTGCTCCCCATGGAAACTGTTAACGTGGCAATATGAAAAACTTAAAAAAGCTTCCAATAAAATAAAAAAATTACTCAAAAGAAAGTGATAGCTGAAAGAAAGGTCCAAATTAAATTTAAATGTGGATCTGTCACTCAGTTGGAATATTTTCATTATCCCACAGGTAGGCAATTTATCTATTTATTCACATTTTTGTTAAGTTCTGTCAGAAGGGAACGGTAAATAACAGGGGTCAGGCACTGGGAGTAATGAGGGCAGTCCTTTGAAAGCTAAATCCTCAGAAATGGGAGCTTTCTCGCCTCATAAGTTGCTTAACTGGAACACATACAGAAATAAAGCATTTATGCAACACTTAACAGGATGAGAAAAATTGGAAGCGATTTTTAGGCAGGTACTGGATTTTCCAAAGCTTCACATGAGCGATGAACATCTGTCACCTGTGACGCAGGCGTAAATTATCTCCAGGATATTAAAACATTATTAATACTGGCTACAACGGGGCCAGTCTTGGCTTCTCCTTTACATTTTTCCTCCTCATAAGGAGAACAGGAAAATGATGTATTGGAAATAAGTGTTGTGCTGGTTACACCCCGGTGATCAGAGAGGACATTCCTGCCCCAGCCCCACACCCCGGTAACGCTGACGTAACACTCATTTGGTAGATACATCATTGTGCATCTATATGCACTATTTTAATTACCAAATGCAGAATGGAAAGGTGGTTTTGTCTCATTTCTCCAGGGAGGAGAGAACAACCTGAGAGAACTGAGTCCAGCAGTTACGTACCGAGATGTCAAACAAAGTGACAACCCTCAGCTGAGACCCTCACTGGTAACACCAAACACCTGACACGGCCTATGAACTTGTACAGAGGGGTAAGGAGCCTCCCCACGAGATGCCAAAAACCTCCCAAAGCAGGTAAAGAGATCATAGAAAATTGTGAGCTGGGAGGGACCCACCAGGATGATGGAGTCCAACTCCTGTCCCTGCACAGGACAATCCCAACATTCACACCATGTCCCTGAGGGCACATGTTGGCCAAATGCTGCTGGAATCTTGTCAGGCTTGGTGCCATCAGCACCTCCCTGGGGAGCCTGTTCCAGTGCTCCACCACCCTCTGGGTTCCTGAAGAACCTTTTCCTCATGGCCAACCTCACCCTCCCCTGCCACATCTTCCTGCCATTTCCTCTGCTCCTGGCATTCGTTGGTGGCCAGAGAGAAGAGATCAGCGCCTGCCCCTCCTCTTCCCCTTGGCAGGAAGTTCTAGACCCCCAGGAGATCTCCTCTCAGTCTCCTCTTCTTAGATGAGTAGTTGAGATTTGCTTCAATTTTCATTTTGATGACTGGTTTTATGACAATTACAGTAAGAGTGTGCAGGTACAATGACAATTCAGTTTCTTGTCCCAGGAATGAGCAAGACACACGATGGATGTACCTACACAGAACTGCCTGGATTGGAAAAGCCCTTTAAGCTCATCAAGTCCAACCATGAACCCAACACTGACAAGTCCCCGACTCACCCATGTCCCTCAGCACTGTGTCTACACTGCCCAGCTCAGTACTGTGTAAGATAACCAAACAAGATGAGAGGCAACCAAACAGCTCACACAAAGGCAAAGCGCTCATCTCTCCAAAATACCTGATTCCATAAAGCACAAAACTGCTTAATAAAAAAAAAAACCTTAAAGTTGGATTTAGAATCACAGAATCATAGACTGGTTTGGGTTGGAAGGGACCTTAAAGCTCATCCAGTCCCAACCCCCCTGCCAGCAGCAGGGACACCTTCCACTAGACCAGGTTGCTCAAAGCCTCATCCAACCTGGCCGAGAACACTTCCAGGGAGGAGCAGCCACAGCTTCTCTGGCCAACCTGGGACACTGGCTCACCACCCTCACACCAAACAATTTCTTCCTCACATCTCATCTCCACCTCCCCTCTGCCACTTTCAAGCCATCACCCCTTGTCCTGTCACTCCCTGCCCTTGGCCAAAGTCCCTCCCCACCTTCCTGGAGCCCCTTCAGGTACTGGGAGGCCGCTATAAGATCTCCCTGGAGCCTTCTCTTCTCCAGGCTGAACAGCCCCAACTCTCTCAGCCTGTCCTCACAGCAGAGTTGCTCCAGCCTCAGATCATCTATCAGCTCCAGGTTATGGAGGTACAGGTGACAGCCTTGACTTTGGGCCTGACGACCAAGTCATCTGAGAAACCTGAGCAAGTCAAGGCCAGCAGCACTCACACAGGTACCATTGGTGACCCTGAATTGCACATATATGCCTCACAGAACCCACTGCAACTAACACTCACATAAAGATACACGTTGTTCCTTACTAATAAGGAGTAGTTTTGGAACACACAAAAACCACAGGATATTAACAAGAGGACGTACAGAAATCCTATTCTGACATGGTGGCCTCATTCCCTGCAAGGACCTTTTTCTGCCTTACATTGAATTCACTCACCTGTGTAACGTATCTCCCATCTCCCCACTTTCTGACTGCCCACAGATGCTGCCACACCCTTACCCACACCACTCCCAGCCCCCCTTGTCACCTTCTCTCCCTGGACTGAGATGACAAGGTGTTGAGAGAGTCACATTCAGAGTGAGAGACAGATCCATCAGCACTCCTACTTACCGGATCTGTGCTATAAAAACCTCACCACATGCTACAAAAACCTTCTTGTACATGTAACTTAAAGTTATTCCAGTTCACAACGTTCCTGTTTCCACACTACAAGCTACAACATCCACAGGTCTCAGGGCAGAGCTTGTTCTTGCCACCTCAGCTGACCTCAGTTACAGATCACATCTTCCCAAAAGGACAATACTTTTACTATAAACCATGTTTCATTGAATCCTTCAAGGGTTCATCCCTCTCCTTCCTCCACCACACTGGTTTTACTCTGTTAAGAGGAAAGGGATTTCCCCCCCCCACCCCAGTAAATCTCATTTAAAATTCCCCTGCATGCCCAGGCTTTATTTACCCCTACGTGCTATCAGGGTCTGCTTGGGAAAGCAAACTAAAGGATTTCATGATTCTTTTTTTGATGGATACAAATATGGGGGAGAAAAGCACCAGTTTCTCCCCCAGCCCCATGAACACTGAAATCATTCACCACTTGTGACCTTTTAGTTTTTTACCTGGAGCACACCTGTCTAAATATCAAGCCAGGTCTCCTTTATGAAAACACTTAACACTGAGTTTTTCTCTCAGGAATACTCACAAAGATTCATATTCCTGTGGGGAACCTCGGTCCCATCAGAATTAGAAATCAAATACCTAACTCTAGAAACAAAAGAGGGAAATTTAGTGTATTCTGATTCTAGTTGTTGTCACTTGACCTATCATCCAGCACTTCTATTATTTTGATAACAGATCTAAAATTAATTTTCCATGAAAATGTCAGAAATAGACCCAAGACTTTTAATATAAATAAATATACAAAAGCTTATGTGAATTCTAGAGATGAGATGAACATAAGTATTTTATGGAGTCAGATAATCATTTATTTATGGCGAATTTCTGGCTCCCTTGGAAACAACGGAACGAACTTTAAATTAAAGATGTTAAAGAACACCGTGTCATTTAAAAACAAGTGTTGTGAGAACACAAAGAAGGCACTTATTTGACAACATACAGACATTTAAAACCTACAAACACTGTAATAAATGGCACAAACTCCCAAACAGACATTAAAAAGTTACAACAATATGCATATCATTAGTTTCCCATATGAAAACCAGATATAAATTTTTGGTTACTAAATAGCTTCATGCTTATTTTCACATTTATTTGATTGAGTACAATATATTGTAATAATCTGTAAACAGATAAATATTTCTTTCTCTCTTAGCAGTCATTCAAAAGTTACCTGCACAAAAAATATAAAGTTATTTTGGCACCTTTCAGCATAGTGTCCGTGTAAACATTTCTTCCTTCTACACACACAGCCACCATCGAATTCCTGTAGCAACTGCCCTTTGGTAAATCATTCATACAGACCTCCAATAAATAAACAAGCAGCTGAAGTGTGGGGAAATTAGTATCTCAGGCTGCGAAATCTTGGTTTTCTTAGGCTAAGCATGGGTTGTTTGATGGTGGGTTTGTTCTCAAGCAGCATGGCTTCATTTTCTGTAGTTGGAAATCTGTTCTGGTAGATCAGGGGGTATTCCTTCTGAAACTGGAAAACATACAAGCAAAAAAACAATAAACTAAAATATCAGACTCCACAAAAACCTCCAGCTGAGCAGGACGTGAGCATGAGTCACCTTGACAGGACATGTATCAGCACGTAAAGGAACTCTGCTGTGACACTTGACCAAAGCTGTAGCCACTTGTGCTTACAAGTTCACAACTGACAACATCCAAAGCCAGGTTGGATGAGGCTTTGAGCAACCTGGTCTAGTGGAAGGTGTCCCTGCTGCTGGCAGGGGGGTTGGGACTGGATGAGCTTTAAGGTCCCTCCCAACCCAAACCAGTCTGTGATTCTATGAAGAATGAGTCAAACAGAAATTCTGTCAGGCACTTGAACTTCTGTTGAAATAAGAAAAGCTTCAAATCTCATTTTATTCCCAAGGACTTTTTAGCTGTTTCCACCAGAACAGTGCTATGAGCAAACTCTGTGCTGTCCTCACTGCCGCCTTCTGCATCTGCAGCGCCACTCTGCAGTTGCTCACCGTGTTGTTCACCAGGTGAGTAACGGCAACACTGCTCACAGTCTGAAGGTACGAGCACCTCTTGCTCAGCCTCCCCCCCAGAAACCAGAGTGGGGGAGGCAGTGGTGGGGGCTGCATGTGTAGGGTTAAAGCAAAACTCTCCCTCCATCCCAACACTGATGGGCAACGGAGCTGGGGAAGGGTCTGGAGCACAAGTGTGCTGAGTTCCCTTGTGGCTGAGGGAACTGGGGGTGTTGAGCCTGGAGAAAAGGAGGCTGAGGGGAGACCTTGTGGCTCTGTGCAAGTCCCTTGGAGGAGGGTGGAGAGAGGTGGGGGTGGGTCTGTTCAACCAAGGACCAAGGGACAGGCCAAGAGGAAATGGGCTCCAGTTGTGGCCAGGGCAGTTGAGATGGGATGTGAGGAAGAATTTCTTTGCTGCAAGGGTTCTGAGGCATTGGAAGGGGTTGCCCAGGGCAGTGGTGGAGTCCCCATCCCTGGAGGGATTGAAGAGTGGTGTAGACACAGTGCTGAGGGACATGGGTTAGTCATAGGGGACTGGTCAGTGTTGGGTTCATGGTTGGAGTCTATGACCTTCAAGGGCTTTTCCAACCCACGCCATTCTGGGATTCTGTATCCTCTCAGGAGAGTTTACTACTTAACCAAGGGAGTTATATTTCAGTTCCCACATATATACACAACTAAACTAAAGTGGCTTCAGAGACATGCTTGTGAGATTTTTCCGTTTCCTCTGTAAGGCCTCAGGAAGGAATGAACAATGATAAATACATCTACACATCAGCCAAAGCTTTCTGCTGATTGATTCCACCTACGGAAAATGACACCATTTCCAACTCCTGGTGTTGACACTAGAGGTTAGGCCCAACTTTTAAGTGCCATGCATTCAGCTTTCCCCAGCTGAAAGTATCAAAACTGAACAATTGCTCCCAAGAGTTATGATCCAGCAGACCACTGGCCATCCCAGCACAAATGGCAAGACCACAATGATACAGCTCTATGGATTTTAAAATAAACTTTGCAAACATGTGGCTCTTACAGTACAAGCTGCTCCTGGACTTTGGTGGGAAGTCATCAAAAATTGAAGTATGTATGTCAAGTTTTACTGCTAGAGGATTTATTTCCTCCCTCCCCACTTCACCTGCTTCAAGTGCTGCTGTGTATCACTTCTTACTGCTTACTTAACTCCAAGTTTTAATTGCCTGTAATTAACTATTCTTCTTTACATGCAGGAAGTTTTAATGAACTTGAAGAAAAGTCCAGCCTTTGCTTTTACAGGACCAGAAAGTTTTGAGAACACACGTGAAAGTCAGTGTTGCAGGAGTTGGAGGAGGGGCACCAAAGAGAAAGAAATGTGCTTGCTCTGAAAAGCTGCTTTTTCAAATGTGAGTCACAAGACTTGCTTAGGAGATTCCAGGACAAGTACAACACTATTCAATTAGTCAGAAATACTTACCAAAGGTTTTCTGAAAAGAGAAAAAACCCTTCAGTATTAAATCCTGCCAGAACTGCTGTAGTTTAGCTTTAGGATTAGGCAATACGTTAGTAGGCCATGGAAGTGCCAGAAAATCTTGAGTAATATACACATTACAAAACACAAAGCTAAATCCACAGAAAAGAATGTTTCAGAATTGTGAACAGATAGAGCTTAGCTTCCTAAAGGGAAAAAAATCACTGCTTTTAGCAGTGATTTACTGCTTTTAAGCCCATCCACAGCATTTTAACAGCACCACAAGAAACCACGCTGCAATTCTCCTGCAGGTGATGTAATGGAGAGCAGCAGCTTTCAATCATTTTATACTGGTTTTAAATCACTGACTGACCATCACTGCTGCCAGACAGTATCAGATGCTGTATTAGACACAGCCTTTAAAATCCTAATCAAATCAGGCAAACACTCTTCTATAAAACAAGCATTTCTATCCGGTCTGCTCTTGAGATCCTTCCCTCACAACAGCATTTTTAGAAGTAGATGAAACACTCACCAAGTTTCTTACCTGTTTTAACTTTTTCTTTTTATCTTTCACAGTCAAGTTTTTATCTTTGATAATGTTCTCCAAGAGCTCCGCCACTGCAGCTTGGGAGGTAGAAACTTTTTGTTCTTCAAACTCTTGAGGAGTTATTTGTTTGCAGTAGGAATACGTTGGCAATATGGCACAAATTTCTTCCTTTGGATATTTGCACTGAAACAAAAATTGAAGCAGAGGTCTGGATATACTCAAATGATTATGTACTATTTTAGGAAGAAGCTACTTAACAGACACCCACCTGTATTAACTTACAGCAAGATCACACGTTGCAATACATTATAACATAGTTAATATCTGTGATTGCACCACAAGTTGAATAAAAGTTTGCATTCAAAATATAGCAGGTTTTAGTTGCAGTTTTCCATTCCACCTTCAGAAATAACAAATACCCTGCAATTAGCAAACTTAAACGTTTATCATGCCACCAACCTGAGCCATCTTCATGTGCTCTATGTGATCTCGCACTGCAACCTGCAGGTAAGTTGGTACTTTAAATATTTCTTGTTGGTGATCCATTAGGAATGAAACCAATCGTGTAGAAAGCAGCTCGTCAAGATCTACTTCTTCTGCACAGCACAGCACGCAGCGAGAAAAAGTCTGGATCATCTACAAGTGTTTAGCAGATCATTAGTATGTGCCCTTGAGGGATTTGCCTCCTTCCCAGTCTACACAGTGGCACCATGAATTCTCCAATAGCAACTTTCATTGCAATCTCTCTTGCCTGCACCACTGGTCAAGAGAGGAGGAAAACTGATTATAACTTTATCCTCATCTGAAATAAAGTAACTTCTTGTACTTTTTTGACGTGAACAGTACTTTCAATTAAGAAACATATTCTAAAGAGGTAATAAGAAGATAAAGTCTCCCCCTGCAGAAAAGTGTACATCATCTATCAGCCATCTTGAGGCTTACAAAAGAT